GAATTATTGGGCATTTGTTTATAAGCACATGTATTAAAAACTTACAGTTCTCAAATCTTTGTATTAAAACATAAGCAGGTACAAAAAAATAGTTTCAACTTTGAAACAGGCCTTTTTTCCCCTCTTAATAGTGTCGATTAGTTGGCATAACATCCAAAAAAACTTTGTTATTTGCATATTTTTCTACATGTACGAATACTGCCAAAAGAAGACCCAATATGCTATCAGTGTTAGACTACTTAGATGTTCTAGTTCCTTTTTCTTTAACAAAAAATAATAATAAAACTTAAGGCATAGTTTTACAGTTTAGCTGGCTACAAGGTAAACCTGTTTGTTACTGCAGCTGTTTTCACGAACCAGTGGCGTTAGTCTAACTGGTTAGTCGGTTTGAATGTGTGGCTAAGAAATATAACGGTATCTGTTGGAGAAATGTCTCGTATGTCGATCCAGACACTTGTGGAACCAAATAGCATAATGTTCAGTAGTTTTGCTAATTAGGAATGTAAAACTGTAATAAAAGACTACAGAATCGTGCATATTACTCAAACTTCTTCAGTCAGAGAGACGTTTAACACTAGAAGTTTAAATTTACTTCTTCAGCTGTCCTAGTTATTTCACCTTATGTTGAATGCAGAGCATGGCTATTAATGCGGTAAGTGGAACTTGAGGTACACGTAAAAATTCCAGGTTATCGTTTTATTAGTAAGGTCTTGTATTTGTGTAGCTTGACATTTGGTTTTTTTGTTAAAATTTTTTGTCATGAATTTTAAAGAGCTTTACGAAAAAATACCATATATAAAAAATAGTCTAAACATATGGGAAGTTATATTTCATGGTGTCATTTAACATGGAGACTATCAGTCTGTTTCCACTGATCGGTGCATGTTTTTTACAAGGTTTGAATGTTTCCTAAAACATAAACCAGCTTTCAGTTGATCAGTTTAAACAGGAAGAGTTTGTAGTCTATCAGAATCAAACACTTACAGCTGTTATAGTTAGAAACTGTGAAAACCGAATTGCAGCTTCAAATATGTTCAACTTGATTAAATCAGACTATTATTAATCGTACCTCTAGTCTGTAATTATAAAAAAAACAAGTCTCCTACGTCTGTGAATATCAAACTATTAATGATATGAAAGTAAACCAGACTTTCATGTGCACTGAATTCGGAATTTAATTGTGATCAAAAGTCAGGATTAACCTTTCTAAGTTCAAGCTTTTAAATGATAAAAAACAGACTTTAAGCCTTTAAACTTTAGAATTTAAATTATAATAAATTAAATTCTAAATCTGATAAATGTAGTTTAAAAATATTAAACTAATTTCTTTTTTAAAATTCAGATATTTTGCCAAACTTAGAATTTTAGTAAATTCAGACTTTGAGATTTTAAAAATATTTTAAAAGCAAACTTTTAAATTTGATGAGGTACCACTTCTAAGTTTACCAATGTAATATATTCGTAAAAAATCAGTTTATAATAAATAATCCTTACTGTTGACGTCAGAAAAGCGACTGAGCTTACAAGTTTTATAAATCAATGTTTTCATAAGAGACTTTATCTAAAGATAATTTGAACCAAATGTCTACAGTGGATCTATTAGCCCAGGAAAACTGAGCAAGTAAGTTATCCAAGTTTTCTCTAACCATAACTCTTAATCAAAATTTCAGAGGGGGGTCTATTAGCCCAGGAAAACTGAGCAAGTAATTTATCCAAGTTTTCTCTAACCATAACTCTTAATCAAAATTTCAGAGGGGGGTCTATTAGCCCAGGAAAACTGAGCAAGTAATTTATCCAAGTTTTCTCTAACCATAACTCTTAATCAAAATTTCAGAGGGGGGTCTATTAGCCCAGGAAAACTGAGCAAG